GGAGGAAGGGGGAGGAGGGAGAGGAGGGGGATTATGAGGCCCTTGGTACTCTCTGAGCTTGGTTGCTTTTTGTAGACATTTCATTAGCAAACTAGGTAGCATCGTCAGGACTAGTGTTCGCTAACGCTGATGATGCCGTTACCTAGCTGGGTCATGAAACGTCTGCAAGGAAACCACCCAGCTCAGAGAGCACCAGGGACCCCACAGTTCAACCCCGAGCTACAAAGATTCTCCTTGTTGGCTCAGGAATTCTGGGAGTTGAAGTCCACAGGTCCTAAAGGGGCCCTAGTTGCCCACCCCTGGCCAAGGAGAACCAACGCTTGGAGTGGGGTGTCCTTAAGGAGTAGCCTTTGGATTTGCTGTGTTCCACCAGCTGCAGAAGCTTTAGGCCAGTAGGTGCTGGCGTGGCCTGACCTCCCCTTGGCCTTGGGAGGGGGATCTACTGGCACTCAGCGGGGGAGCCAGTGGCCGGGTGGAGAGCTGCTGGCCACGTCTGCAGCAGGCCCGGAAGGGTGGGATGGATTGAATCAGCGGGTCAGCAGACTTTCCGTTGACCAGCAGCCCAAATGTCTGGACGCTCTGAAGCGCAGCCTGTCGGAAGGAGCCACCGACTGAAACGGCCCAGCGTTGGCTCTTCCTGGATGGCCGCCTTGGGGCCAGAGAGCTCCGCCGGAGTCACGGGCTCCAATCAATGGACGTTTGACCGATGCCGGGGCTGCTGGCTGACGCTCCTTCCTCCCTTTGCCTCCCCCTCCAGTTCCGATACAAGAGGCGCGTCTACTCCCAGCCGCTGCTGGATGACAAGCAGTTCGCCAAGCTGCACACGAAGGTAAGCCGTGGCCCTGGGGGGGGCAGGGGGGGGCTTCTGGCTGCATGGCGCAGGTCGAACTCTAGAGGCGGCTGCAAGCCCTGAGCCTCACCCCACTGTCTGAGGCCGGGTTGGGCTGGGCTGGGCTGAGCATGATGGGGCTCCTCCAGGGTTCTCAGTCTTCTCTCCCTCGAGGCAGCCAGACCCTTCACAGAAGGGAGCCCCGTTTCCAGGGGCAAAAGAGAGGTGAAATCCAGGGCCAGGTAAGACTTGAGGGACACCCAGATCTTCTGCACTTCTGTCTGGCCCCATCTGGCTTGCGTCGACCTCGTGTTACAACATAGAACACAGACTAGTAGGGTTCAAAGGGGCCTTAGAGGTCTTCTAGTCCACCCCCTGCTCAAGCAGGAAACCCCATACCCTTCCAGAGAAATGGCTGCCCAATCTTTTCCAGTGTTGGAGCACCCACAACATCTGGTGGCAAGCAGTTCCACTGATCCTGCCTGCTGCTGTGTGAGCTGTTTGTCTCAGTAAAGCCAGGCGGAAGGGGGCTCCACCTTCCCTCTTCGGCCAAAGCAGCTCAGCCCACTTGGCTTCATCTGGCCTCCAGGGCTGGAGGGACAGGAGTTGTGGCTGTGCCTGTCACCCCGTTGCCCTCCTTCCTTTTGAGGCAGGACAGGGCACTCTCCACCCAAGCTGGGAGTTGTGCTGGCTGCTGCTGCTGCGCAGAGATGCCAAGGTGGCAGATGCCAGGCCAGCTGGGGGGGGGCAGTGATCTCCCTGGAGGGCCCGGAGGACCAGGTGGAGCCTCCAGCCCAGCAGGGGGAAGCTGGCAGCCCACCTGTCCCTTTTCAAAATGCCCCCCCTTGGAAGATCCAGGTGGGCAACACCCCCTCAGGCAGGTGCCACCTGGCGAGTCGGGCTTTTATTTCCCTTTGCTGGCACCGGTCACAAAAACGCTCCTCCATCTGGTTAGAGAAAGGTCCCGACGACTCGGCCAGGCCAGGCCAGGCCCCCATGCAGCACCGGTCACTGTCCGAGGAGAGACCTTCACGGGCTCCTTCATCCTGCCCCACACCTTCCTTTTTCCTTCCTTTTTCAACGCACTGAAAAGGGTTAAGCAAGGCTAAACTCCCTGGGCCGAGCAAGTATTTGGGCCGTTCATGGACCCGAGGTGGGAACGTCCAGCCGTTTGGAGAAAGAGGCCGGGCAACGGGATTCTTGGGCTCCAGCCCCTCACTTCTCCCAGGAGCCCAGATTCTGGTGCTGCCCAGATCCTGCTCCCTTCCCCCCAACCGCTGCCAGGAGACCCCTTCAGGGAGGGGTTATTTACTCCAAAGCCCATTTTGGCCCCCAGAGGCTGGACTCCTCTCCACGGGGACCATCCTTTTGCCTTGAGTTAAAGTTGCAGAAATGATCAGGGGGAAAAATACACCAGCGTGTCCCAGGGACGCCCCACTTAGCAGTCACACGAGGCAGCTTTCGCAATAACCTTTGTCCAGACACGCTAACGAGGACGGTGCTGGAGAGCTGATTAAACTCTTTTTGTCCAAGGAGCTTATTAAAGGGACTTTTCTATCGATTTGTGTATGGTTCTGGGTTGGCTTTCCACAAAGGTGTTGCACCGTGGGAG